CCATCTCTTCTTCTCTAATCTCTTTCTCTGCACACTCTCCTGGATCTCATCCTTCCACCACCAGGTCTCTTTGTCCTCCTTTCTCTGCCCAGAGGACATACCTAGCACCTTCCTACCTGTCTCCCTCATCACTGCAGCTGTAGTCTCCCAATCATCTGGGAATATCTCAACACTACCCAGAACTGCCCTTACTTCCTTCCTGAAGTCTTCACAACATGTCTCTTTCCTTAGTTTCCACCACTTGATCTTCTGCTCTGTCTTCACTCTCTTCCTTTTTGTTACCTCCATCTTCATTTTGCACACTACCATCCGATGTTGTTTGGCTACACTCTCACCTGCCACCACCTTACAGTCTCTAATCTCCCTCAGATTACATCTTCTACATAGAATATAATCTATCTGTGTGGACCTGCCTCCACTCTTGTAAGTCACCCTATGTTCCTCTTTCTTTTGGAAATCTGTGTTTACCACAGCCATTTCCATTCTCTTTGCAAAATCTACCATTGCCTGTCCTTCTACGTTTCTCTCCCTAACGCCAAACCTACCTATCACTTCCTCATCTCCTCTGTTCCCTTCCCCTACATGATCATTTCGGTCTGCTCCAGTCACCACTCTCTCTCTCCTGGGGATACTCTCTACCATCCAAACTAGCTCCTTCCAGAACTTCTCCTTTTCTTCCAACTCACAGCTCACCTGTGGGACATAACCACTAACAACATTAATCATCTCTCCTTCTACTTCTATCTTCACACACATCAACCTGTCTGACTCTCGTTTCATATCTACCACATTTCTTACATATTCTTCCTTTAGGATCACCCCTACTCCATTTCTCTTCCCATCTGACCCATGATAAAACAGTTTGTAGCCTCCTCCAATGTTTCTAGCCTTATTGCCCTTCCACCTGGTCTCCTGCACACACAAAATATCTACTCTTCTTCTCTCCATCACATCAGCTATTTCTCTGCTTTTCCCTGTCATTGTACCTACATTCAAAGTCCCATACTTCAGACTAACTTCTAACTAACTTCTATTCTTCATCTTTTCTCTTTTTCTCCTAACCAAACGGCCTCATCTTCTTCTCTGTCTCTGGCTCTGACTCTGACCAACAGTAGTCCAATTTCCATCAGTGCCCTGTTGGTCAACGGCACTGTTGGCGGTCGTTGTTAACCCGGGCCTCGACCGATCTGGTATGGAAATCGTTTTATTGATCTGCATAATTGATTGAGCTAAACGTTTTACGCCGGCTGCCCTTCCTGACGCAACCCTCACCATTTATCCGGGCTTGGGACCGGCACTATAAACACGGCTTCGTGTACCCTAGTGGCTGGCTTAAATAAACGTTACCATGATTCTAAAATATGAGGAATGAGAATAATAATCTAATTACTGACATGGAAAAGAGCCAGCAATGATTTAATGACTTTGGTCATAACCCCGAATTAATGTCTGAAAATGAGGCCGCTTTTTAACAGTTTAAACCAATGGTAAAAATTTACAACAGTAGATGCTAGTTTTTAAATCGTGAGCAAAATTGAAGAAAAGGATATGATCAAGCAAAATGTGATAAATAAGAAATAAAGTGTCTGATTGACATCTTGACTGTCTAATCATGGGCCGTTGACATATGTGGGAGGACCGGAGGGTCACTAACATTATATTTTTCAACCTGATTCCTTTTGATACTTCACCATCTTTACAATTAAAATGCAAAGTATAGAATCATATAAATGTAGAATATGTTTAAAAAAAGGCAAGTCACCATTAGGCATATTCTCCAAACATCTTCGCAGCACTCTTGCTACAGTCTCAGCCACGCTCCCTGTCAATCCGTCTTCAAGACCTTTGGTTACCAAAACAGATTTTGTTTTAACACAGTGTAACGTCACATACAGACTCTCTAATTCATGTGCATGTTATATTTTCCTATGTGCGATTTAACCTCACATCAGTGTGAAATGAGATCAGGTAACACACAGTTTGCTCACTTGTGTGTGTATGAATGCATGAGAAGAGCATGGCTGGCAAACTCACATTCACTGCTGCTGCTACAGCTTCCAAGACTTCCCCTGACGATCAGACGGATAGTATCTTGCGTCACCGGGGACTGGCTCTCTGTTGCCAAGGTGACAGGGCTCTCTGCAGATGGCGGAAGTAGACTTCCATTCTAAGGTGAGAAGCAGTGACGACAGAATTTAGACTCTGAGTTTAGATCATCTCTTCCTACGGTGACTCAGTGCAAGTGGTTGGCATGAAGGTTAAAAATAAGTACTTGGTTGCTGAATAGATGTTTTAAAGCAGCATGTGACTCACAAGATTGCCTATTTTAATTCACCAAGCAAAAGGCTTTTTTTTTTAAAATGTAAATAATTTGGTGGAGGTTAAATGAATTGTGTCTCACCTTGGAAATCTTTTTGCTGTGCTGTTGTTGGCTGATGGCAGTTCTCTCCAGGTCATGCTGCAGTTTGTAGATTTCCTCTTCTTCCTTGGTTAACTTATCTGTTTAGGACAAACATAAGGATGACAATAAAATTAGGAACAATAAAAGAGAATATAAAAAAATGTTGTTTTAAGTGGTACATACTGTACAATCCACTCTATTACTTACTAAGTGTCTCATAGTATTTGACCTTGTCTCTCTTCCCACCAAAGAGTGCAGCAGCCGCTTTCTTAAAGAAGCTCTTGGCTGGACTGGAGATGTGGAAATCTGGTGGGGAATGGCAACAGCTAGGTGGCAGACGCTCTGGACTGAATCCCTGTGAGGAAGAAAAAAATTGGTCAGTGTGGTGTGCACAAAAAGGAGATCACTGTTACACTTCTACAAAATGACATTGACATAAGGACACCAAGGGACAAATGGACAGAGAGACAGGAGGTGCATCTAACCTGTGTAAAGAAGTCGTGTCTTAGAATGAGATCCAGATTGGCTCTGTCCTCAGGTATTTTAGCCAAAAGACTTGCTATTAGCTGTTTAGCCTGTGGTGACAGCAACGAGGGCAGTGAGTACCTTGCCTCTCTGATACACCTGTAGGTCTCCTTCAAGTTTGTGGTTTCAAATGGTGGTCTACCCAACAGCATTGTATACCTGGAAAATAGGAAGGAGGTCCACATTAGATAATGTCTATCACAAATACTCCTCTTTTTTTAATATACACTTGAGGTCAAATTGACCATAAAGAAGATTTTAAATGTATATATTTGTGTCTACAACAAAGGACACAATAATGGCATTAGTTAATAATTAATTGTATAATTAAACCTTTTGATGTCTCTTGATGATGAATTTATAGTGATCCTACTCACATTACACAGCCTAAAGCCCAGACGTCTGATTCACAGCCATGGCCCTGTTTGTTCAGCACCTCAGGGGACAAGTAGTTAGGAGTTCCACAGATCGTCTTCCTCCTGTTTCCCGCTGGCTGTAACTTGGCAGCCAGACCAAAGTCTCCGACCTTCAGCTCCATCGACTCGCTCACAAAGAAATTACCTGCAAGGAACAAAGGAGAAGGTGTGATGAGCAACTGATACCATGGATCAAAGGCTGAGGAATTGATTAAAGAAAATGCAGAGGACAAAAGTGAGATCACATCAATGATACCCAATGCAGATTTAATGGTACTAAAAGTGTCTGATCATCATCATTGTGCCAAAGTGCCATTGTGGTAATGGGATTCCTTACCAAGTTTCAAATCTCTGTGAAGGATTTCTTGTCCGTGCAGGTACTTCAGACCAGAGACGATCTGCCTCAGGTAATAACGCACCTCTGGCTCTGTCAGCACCTTACGAACTTTAAGGATATGAGCTAAAGACTGCAAAAGACAAAAGAGGGTAAAGACAAATATTAAAACATGTTATTGTGTTTATTTTGTAAATAAAATTAAAAAAAAACATTGTACAGTTTAGAATTCTACAGCTTTGCATTGCAGTAGACTGAATACGTGTAGTGTGTAAAATGGTTTGGGTGCAATGCAGATGTATTTCAAACAAAGCACTAACATAATACAACAGTATTGTACAGTACTTACTTTTCTACTGCAATACTCTAACAGGATGTAGATGTTTTCCTTGTCCTCAAAATGGTGATAAAAGTGCACTATGTGTTTATGGTGCAGAACTCTGTGCAGCTCAATTTCCCTGTCAATCTACCAGAAAGAAAAGACACAACGATGAGTGACACTGACTAAATGTCGTTCAAATTATTTTCTCCTTCAGTTTACTCGTAGAGCGCACAGCTGCAAGTGCTGGGTCTGTGCGCCTACCTTCTCTCGTTGGTGCGGTTTGGAGACGCGAGCATGTGGGATGATTTTGGCCGCGTAAACTTTGCTGGTTGATAGGTCTGTCATCTCATAACATTTTGCAAATCCTCCCTGTAAAGAGGGGACAAACACACTGTTATTAACACGGCCGCCTCTTGCACAGACAAAGTTTATCCAGTAAGTCGACAACAGGCGCTACCTTTCCCAAAACTTTCCCACGGCAGTAGCACTTTCCCGTGGCAGGGTCGGTGATGATCCGGGCCATCTCCGAGGGGGCACTGCACTCATCCGTCCTCTTTCTTCGGGGTTCGCAGGACTTCTGTGTGGACTCACACATGTCGCTGTTTGTCTTCTGAACCGCGAAACTACAGTGTACTTCCATCAGCCGTGCTGAGTTGACCTCAAACTAAGCCGGGTGGTTCGGTCTGAGAGGATTTATACTCTGGCGGCCCCCCCCAACCCGCTGTTTACCGCCCCCTTCATGACGTCAGGCGGTGAAGCGAGAGCATGAGCCATGTCTGATATACTGTAGATTAACTTTGTCTGAACACTAATGTTAGTGATGAAACCAATATTTAATCGAAAGCAACACGTGAATTTCTTTCTGATACACCATCTGCAAAACCAGCGACATTACATTACACACACCCTATATATGTGTATATATATGTATGTATGTCATATATATATTTATATATCATATATGTCATTTGTTGGAAATTGCGGCATGTGACTGATAAGTAACCATTATGTAGAGGATACCCATTTGTATTCTACACAGGCACACTTTCATCTGGCGCTTCTGCACCAAACGCAGTTTAGACTACTGGCGCCCTCAGGTGGAAAGCTTGAATACTAAAATGTCGCGAGCAGGGTTCATTGATGGTCTAAAATGGTCTGTCTACCATGTATAAAGGTACTTTGGTACATGGAATATAGTGAAAGTAAAAAACCTCCAAGACATTATGTATTTAATAAAACTATTTATCTTATTCTACTTCCTCAGACCTGACTTGTTTAAATCTAAACATTTTGGAAGTGTGTTCCCATCAGAGAATATCTCCTGTGCTAAATTGGAAAATATGAGTGGTACCCTGCATTATTTTACTAACCTGGACAACTGCAATATCAAACTCCTATGGCTCCGACAGGAACTCCAAAGGATCTGACAACCATTTGTGTAAGTTGACCATCATCACAGTTTTGCTTGTATTGTCACTTACTTAAAAAAAGGGGAAATAATTTAATTGACATACATAAAGTAAAACATATCACTATCAGATATGTTATATTCACGAGGGTAACCTTTATCAAGTATACATTGATGCAGACACTTGCAATTTGTTCAGGAATTTGTCCTGGAAATTTACTTTTATCCTGATCATTTTCTCTAATCAACATAAATCTATTTTTTTTACAAACAAGCCACTTGCTCAGCATCTTTGGTTACTTTTCACTGCTCTGTTTCAGTTTTCTTTTTTAATCGTAAATGACACACGAGAACAATTCAGCTTTCACACCATCTTTACTTGCACATTTCCAAGTTGTGAGCGCACGGTGCTGATGTCATAAGCAAAAGTCTCGTCAAGGCCTGAGCCAACTGAGGAACGCTGCAGCCAGTTCGGAAGAGGAAAACGACACGCAGTGACACATGCATCATCAGGGAGCTCTTTCAGCAGCTTCTCACCTAGAACCTCCATCTGTAAATATTGCAGAAAAGGCTAAATGCACCGCTTTATGGTCAAATGCTATGCTATACAGTGCGACAATCAAAACAGCTTGGGGAAGAAAAGGACAACATACCACACCAGGAGCGAGGAAAGCTGTCACATTGTTGTATGAAGATAAATCAGTCTATGGACAAAAATATTTGATTTTAAATAGGATAAAACTCCAACTTTGCCCCCTACTGGCAGTACTTGGAGACTAACACAGCAGTGTTCTGTCCTAATTGTGTACCTTCCAGAGGTTTTCTTCCAGAAATGTTGCTTTGCTTGTGGAGTAGATCACTAACAAGGAGTTTATCTCAAACCCTGTGCATTGGAAACCAGCAAAGGCCGCTGCAAACACCTGAGAGAAGACCATCCTAGATTTACTATTGTAAATAATAAATAAAGACATGTACATGTATATACTTTTTTCCAAAACTCACCAGCCTTCCATCTCCTGATCCCAGATCTGCTAACCGACCTCTACCTTCAAGAAGCTTAATGGTGTTAAATGTTTGATCTTTACTGGAGGGCAAATAAGGAACCTGGACAACAACTGATCAACTGATACAACTGATTGAGTGGATCAATGTGAAAGTATAAGGTGCCTTTCATTGCACCCCTTCTGTTAAGGTATTGCTTTGATGTGTGATGATGATAAATTAAATCTACCACAATCTTACACCTCATGTCTGTTATTTTCACAGTAAGAGAGAAGCTAATAGCATAGCCTTTGAGTTGCACAAACTTTAAAGAGTAATTTTCTGGGGAACATCTCAGAATGCATTTCATTTTAAACCTACATCTGCAGTTTAGTCTGCAAACAGTGACAACAACCTTGAGAGTAATTTTCCACTCACTCTCAGAGTAACCAATGTCTAAATGATAATTACACATCTCAACCGTGTACAGTAGCTGAAGTCGACAGAGTTTAGCATAACACACAACAGAATCTTTAGTTCAATTTCAAAACATCACAACCTGAGAGCAGAGGACAAGCTTTGACAAAATATGGCATAATCTGTTTTTTAACATTCAGCTCATGGTCATATTTTACATTATACTGATCTTGTAGCATAATATATAGAGCTTGCACCTAATCATATTAATATACTGTTTATTATAGTTAAGTTGTCCATAGCAGATTCATAGTTTATGGACTTACCATCTTATTCTTTTCCCACATTTGTTGCTAGCAGGGAGCATTATGCTCCAAGATGAGCAAATCATTGTTAATGTGCAAGTTGGGTTCTGTAGCAACCTCATACCTTAGATTTGATTTATTATGCATCTTTAAAAAATTAAAAGTTAACAAAACCCTTTATCTACCTTAAGCCTCCATGGGATTTTACGGAAGACAGGTACTGTGAAGAGGCCCCAGAGCCCGTACATGGCTGTGAACAGTGCACCAGTACAGGCCGTCACCACAGGCTGTGATTTACTATTTAGTAAGGTGCTGCTGTGGTCCTGCAGGATGACTTCAATAGTGTTCTCCATTATAAATTTGCACCAATATCCCTAAAATACAGACAAAAACAACATGTGTTTTCCTTTGACAGCAATTTCTGCTTTATTCACTTAAAAAACCCATGTACTCCCATTAGTCTAGAATGAAAAAATAGAATTAGCTACGATGATAAAACTAGCAAATGTAGTACTTATAATAATAATAATAGAACTGATACAGTAAATATTATTCTGCTGCAAAATCTGCTAGAAAGAATTATGTTAAGAAATATTTTCATTCAGGATTAGTGGGTAGGTTAAAATTCTAAAATTCTATGGGTTGAAAAACAAAATAAAATGTAACACAGCTCAAACTTGTTTTCTTTGTTTGATAAGCCTAAAAAACTCTCGTCAGTCACTGAAATGAAGCTTTTGAGATTAAAATATATTAACAGCTTTCCTTAGATGCCTCTTTGACGTACCTTTGTGTTCATTTTAAAATAAAATAAAATTCATTAAAAAACTGTGGCCAGATGGGGCCCCTGGGATAACAGTTCAATAAACTGGCGGAGATAATTTTCTGACCAACATTTGTTAGTCAGTGACCTTAAAAAGCACTTTTGTTTTGTATTTTTTATTTGTATTCTGTCATATATGTTAATAATTACCATCAGGCTGAGAGGGGCTTTAGCAGCTGCCGAGATCAACGTGCTAACAATGACTGCTTGCCAACAACAGATAGCGCTACTTCGCACTGCAGAAACCTTCTAGAAAAGGTTCGTTAACCACGCAAGTGGGTCAACTATGTTCTGATACTTCCTGAACCCAGTAAATAAGCGCACAGATGTTACAGCATATCCATCGCATTTGAAGGAAAGACGACGTTATGGAGTGTAGCTGTTTAAAAAGCAACAATGGACCACAAAGAAAGGCCTGTAAATAAAGTCAGTCCATGATATGCAAGAAAGAAAAGAAACCGTTCACATATTCACCTTCTCAAAAGCGCCGTGAACACAGACACGTAGCAGTTTTTGTTAAATGTGTGTAGTGGTAACAAAAACCTTGGAAACATGTGGCAGGAAGACATGTTAGCTCAGATTCCAGTGGATCTGACCCGTCCACCACGACTGCTCTCTCTCACTAACGCGTACGTGCGCACACATCGCCCTATGACTTAATGTAGGGCCTGTCAAAAGTCTGCTAGCTGATAGCAGAAGTTTGTATTTACTGTATAACTACCAGTAGCTCACTCTTACGTAACTGTCTGTTTGTGTTCTAGCCTGAAATAAAAAAAAATATATTAATTCTTAACAGTTAAATAAAACAACATTTAAAAATAAATAAATGACTAAAAATGCTGATAGAAACCATCTGTTCCTTATTTGTCCAAACTGTTTAATCAGTCAGACATGTTTTATGACTAAATACCTAATCAAAAAAAGGGACAATTGAGTCCGGGCAAGTGGTAGTTCGATTTAGTTGTCGACCTCAAGCAACGTCAAGCAACATTATAATAATAATAATAACAATTATTATTATTATTACTATCATAATCGGTGGCGCGTTGGCCCAGACACTGTCAATGGTTTGGAACCCCAGGGTTCACCTCCTGGGCAAGATCAAATCCCGGTTAGGGCGGTTAGTTCCTTCCAGTGGACTCACCACCTGCAGGAAGGTTCAGGGGGGTTGGTATGGTGCAGTGTGATTTGGGTGGTGACTGCTGCCACTCGGTAATTGATAAGCGGATGAAAATTGATGGATGGACTATCATAATCATTATTAGTAGGCTATATGTATTATTATTAGAGTATTACATAGAGTATGTGTACTAAGAGTGATGTAGCAGATTCAGTAACTTAAAAAAAAAACTATAATAATGGAACTTTGCAAATATACTTTATTATTATTTTTATTTAGAGTTTATATTATACCCATACTCACTTGCACTCAGGGCTCTCTGTCAGCCTGTCCTTGTCTGTTTACTCAGCTGCTGTATAAACACATGAGGCGGGGAGAAATCACCCAAGAGTGATGCCACAGGAGAGGAGAATAAATTTGCTTCCTGAAAAAAAAAGGCTGGTGAACTGAAAGAAAAGCAAGCGAGTAGGTGAAAATTTGTTGAGGGTCCAATGGATTTTTTATGGAAAGGTAAGATGGGAGTGGGGGGAGGGGGCACTGTCATGTTTACCTACAGAAATGCTAGTAAAAAAAAAAACGGAGCTCAAAAGTCTTTTCCAGCTTTACTTTAATCAGTTGCTGTGGTTTTGGTCACATGATCCAGCTGTTAACAGCGTGGATGAGCTGCTGCATGCTGACTTATGTGGTCGAAATTTTACATTTGATGGCGTCCTTCTTCTTAGTTCCAAGACTACAACCCCCATGCTCCTCGTGACCTCCATCAACCCCCATATCAAAACCATTACCCCCTCCGATGACGTCAGAGATACGCAGAGACACACGCAACTCGCCCTCGGTTCCTAGCGCCAGATCCGAGGCGGAGGGGACAGCTCCCTAGTGCTGAAACTGGTCTGCGCTCCAAAAACAGAGGCGGAGGAGGAACACACCAACGCCCGCATTCGTTTAAAAATACTCAAGTACACTGAGAATCAGGGGCTGATACAGATAAAGCCGAGAACTTCAATTACAGGTTTGTTAACACGATGTCCTCCAAACGTTCTGGTAGTTTGTGTAGAATAATTTAATCAATTGATGACAATGTTATTAATGTGATTTTATTGTATGCGGCGTGTAGCACACTGACTGGCATCAACATTTTTATCACAAAGGCAGTTTGTTTGACTGTGGTTGCGTGTTATTGCCGGAAACAGGGATTTTAGCGTTGTCCTTGCAAAAGCTGCAATAGTGGCATCTCTCTCCCTCACCACCACCCCTCCCCCTCCCCTCTCTAACATACGGAAACAAACGCATAAGCAGGATGGAGGTCTGGCATATTTTAGAAATGCAGATTCCACAGGCACAGCCAAATATGCGCAGTAGCTTTGTCGAAATAAACACACTAAAGCTGAAGATGAGTCGCGCTGCAAACCATCGTACGTTTACACGGAATTTTTGAAAACAGTAAATTTGCGCTGTTACGGTGAATGACTGTATTATTGTGTCATTTCTAACAGCGGGGAACTGATGATTTAGTATGCATAAATACATTTTGCTAAGTAAAATACACATGTGATGTCGTTTTGGATTGAACCCTGACAAAGGCATAATATAATAATAACAGAATGCATAATGTAATCTGTTGTACACTAGTGATTAATATTCCACATTAAACACATTTAGCAGTGTTTTTCCAATGCCAGGTAAATTGTACCAACACAATCAAATAAGGACAAATGCAAATAATAGCAAAAAGCAAATAAATGGCTTTGGAGAAGAAGGTATCAAATATTCATCAATGTACAGTATAACAACTCGCTGTTATAGTCATGCTGTGTTTTCTGATCTGTGGCCATGTACATGATGTACTGTTCTCTTTTACTTTTTGGTATGTTGTTATTAGCTAGAGCAATTTTAATGTAATTATTTTTCTTTTTATAAAAATACACTGTATAAGAGACAACTTTAAACCGTCACACTGAACTTGAGTTTTATTTTTCTATTCAGTTTAGCCACACGGCTCTACAATCCCTCCACTGTGACTCAAGGTGAAGCTCTTAATCTATTCTATTCAGTATTTCTCTTATTGTCTTTGCAGATGGCTGCTACTCAAGATGTGAAAGGAAAGGGGGAGGGAGGGGATCAAAATTTTGACTACATGTTCAAGCTGCTTATCATTGGCAACAGCAGTGTGGGCAAAACCTCTTTCCTGTTCCGCTATGCCGATGACGCCTTCACTTCAGCCTTCGTCAGCACAGTGGGCATTGACTTCAAAGTGAAGACTGTGTACAAGAATGACAAAAGGATTAAACTGCAGATTTGGGTAAGAGTCTCAATGGCTGTGAGCTTCTGTCTACCAAATATCTCTCTGCACATGGCAACACCTGATCATAAACGCAATCCGGGCCCACGTAACAAACAAACAAACAACAGCAAAGGTTTGCATGTTATTTCATTACCTTAGAACATGTCTCTGTTGAATTTTCAAGACATCGCACTCAACATGATAAGTATGAAGACAGATGGTTGGCACAATCATTCTGGCAGTTGACTTGTAAGTGTCAGTTTGGCACACAGTTGGGAAGAAGGAACAGCCTTTGTCAGAATTAGCAGAAACTGAAGATGATCTAAGTCTGTTTCATTAAGAAGTTATCTGAGCTGTTGAGGCAGACTGTCTCATAATACCTTTGATATTGCAATGAATGGATATTCATGCCGGTCCCTTTTCTGCTGCAATATTAGTGCCAGCTCCACTTTACCAATTTTTGTCTCCATGGACTCTATTTGGTCACAGTAATCTTGATTTGCCTCATTTTGCAATCCCCAGACACTTGGTGTTTGTCAATTACATTAACATAAAGCATCAGAGTTCCAACAAAATGACCAAATTGCATTGGAGCAGTCAAATGGCTGGCTGAAGTTTTCATCATTAGTGAGACAAGCACATTTAGGGAGAAAACTGTCTGCTCTTGCATTCAGTTAATTGGCCTGTCTTGTTAAACTAGGCTCAGGGAGAGCTCAAGCTACAGTAAGTGCCCTTTTAAGCTAACGGCAATTGGTCAATTTAATTGTGGCAGCTACACCAATTATTTTTTTTAGTAAGAGGCAAAGTGATGTGATGAAACACAGGGGAGTGTGTTGCCATGGTAATTTGTAACAGACAAAAAAGACATTATATATTATCAAGGTTGTATATATAAAAGGAGTATCAACCTAATTCTTAGGTCTAGCCACAACATTTTGAATTAGACTATGTGAAATACATAATTACTAGATTATTAAATATACTAGATAATAGTTGATTAAAAGAAATTCAAGACTTTTATTTTCAACTATTTATATTTCAAAATCTATGGAAACATGTTCTGAGCCAAAGATTAACAAGAAAAGTCCTCAATAGAATCTAGTTTTCAATAGAAGTTTCAAAATCCTGATTCTGTGATAATATTGTCACCGGTGGTATTGTAGATGATAAGGTCATGGTATCTGCATACAGTGATGATGTAGTTCTGAGCAGTTGCATCCTACTACTTTTAAAAATGAGCAAATTATAAAAGATGCCGATAGTGTCTTCAATAATCAACATTTAAAAAGTGTTATTCAAATTCAGTCTTAACTTGGTTTATAAAACCAACGGGAAACTTGAAGTGCTTAACCAAAATGTAACTTTCCTTTTCTATTTTAAAAAAGTGAGACTTAAAATATGGTTTGGTACCCCTTTGCAAAATGAAGATGCCATGTAGCTTAATTGACCTCCTTCACTCAATCTGTCTCCACCAGAATAGATTTCTGGGCAGGGGTAGGATCCCAGAAATAAAAAGGATTTTCTAGGAGCTCACATTTTCTAGACTCAGTACTTGTCTTCCTGTCCTGCCGACTTCTCAACACAGGCTGAGTAGAAACTCACAAAATAAAACGGTCATTTTGTTGCCTCCTCTGAAAATCAATATGCTACTTAAATATCCAGAGATTACATTTCACACCAGAAAAGACACATATTACACTATGACAGTACATCCAGCATATTGGGTAACACCGTCGATAAATCCATTCTCTTTTCTTTATCCACTTATTCTACAAAGGACACAATATAGTCACAGTGCTCTGAGGCTACTGTCTGAACAAACAGCATGCATATTGTTTTGAGGTATAACTTTGTATAACTATATATAATTATATATATATATTATATATATAATATATAAATTATATATATATATATATATATATATAAAATTATATATAATTTGTTTAAATATAATAACCTCTGGCGTGTCTATAGAGTATAGTGTCTACTTTCAGTTAGACGTTCTATTCTGACTGCAGCTATCTGCATGTCCTCCCTCGCTGCATCCATATAGCTCCTCTTTGGCCTTCCTCTTTGTCTCCTACCTGGTAGCTCCATCTCTAACATTCTTCTACCAATGTATCCACTGTCCCTCCTCTGCACATGTCCAAACCATCTCAATCTGGCTTCTCTAGCTTTTTCTCCAAACCTTCCTGTCTGTGTTGTTCCTCTAATGACCTCATTCCTGATCATTCCTGCCTGTGGGTGCAATGGGTCGAGTGCTGCTTAGGAGCACTCGGTGTTGTTAACCAGTCTCAAATTAATAACACAACCAGTCTCGTTAAAGTTATCTTTAATTAATATTTTAACCTACTAATATAGCAATAATGTATTACTTGGAGTATTACACATATACTATAATCAATAGTATTAATAACAACTAAATGTCTGAAGGATTTTTAGAGATCTTGGTAAATTGGGTGGCTTCAATGAATAAAACGACAATGTAGACAAATACAGTTAACAGTAATCAAATTTATTAACACAACACCGTTAAGTTAATAACTTATAAACAATGATCAAAACAAGGCACAATAGTGTGTATAGGCATGTGTGTGTGTACGTGTGTGTAGAAGAGGGAAGAAGAGAGAAAATGGAAGGAGGGAGAGACATTATCTTCTCGCTGGGGAGCGAGCGTGGTCACGTGCGCGGTCACGCAACGTGACTAGGAAAAGTAAGAAAACAGAGAGAGAGGGGGAGGTAACCCTCTTTGGGTTACTGCCCGTTGCGGTAATGCGAAAGTTCGCAATATCACCTATTGACTGGTTTCAGGTTGAATTAGATTCTCTCTAAAATCACATTGCACCGTACCTAAACCTTCCTGCATACCTAAACCTTCCTGCGGGTGGTGAGTCCACTGGAAGACAGATCACAATGTCATCTGCAAACAACATAGTCCATGGGGACTCCTGTCTGACCTCATCTGTCAATCTGTCCATCACTAAAGCAAACAGGAAGGGGCTCAGGACTGTTCCTGAGTCTTCTGTCCTTCCAACAGCACACCTCACTACTGTTGTACTGTTCTCATACATGTCCTGCACCAAACTAACATACTTCTCTGCCACTCCTGACTTCCTCATACAAAACCACAATTCCTCCCTTGGCACTTTGTCATATGCCTTTTCTAAATCTACAAATACACAATGTAGCTCCTTCTGACCTTCTCTGTACTTCTCCATCAGCATCCTCAAGGCAAATATTGCATCTGTGGTACTCTTCCTAGGAATGAAACCATACTGTTCACAAATCTCCACTTCCTGTCTCAACCTAGCTTCAACTGCTGTTTCCCAAATCTTCATTGTATGGCTCATCAACTTTATCCCTCTGTAGTTGTTACAACTGTGTGCATCACCCTTCTTATAAATTGGCACCAGAACACCTTTCCTCCACTCATCAGTCTCTAAAATTTTGTTAAACAACCTAGTCAGGAAATTTACCGCCACTTCTCCTAAGCACTTCCATACTTCCACTAGTATGTCATCAGGACCAACTTAGTTTCCACTCTTCATCCTCTTCAGGGCTTTTCTAACTTCATCCTTTCTAACCTGATCTACCTTCTTCCTACTAGTCTCTGGTTTGTCGTTACTACTTTCCCTTTCATTTTCCTCATTCAACAACTCCTCAAAGTATTCCTTCCATCTTCTCAGCACACTTTCCTCACTTGTTATTACATTCCCCTCTCTGTCCTTAATCAACCTCACCTGCTGCACATCCTTCCCAGCTTGATTTCTCTCTCGCCAATCTATACAACTCCTTTTCTCCTTCCTTTGTTTCCAAACTCTCATACAACTCCTCATATGCCTTTTGTTTGGCCTTGGCCACTTCCCTCTTCACCTCCCTTCTCCTCTCTTTGTACTCCAGTCTGTACTCGTCTGTTCTGTCACTGTCCCATCTCTTCTTTGCTGATCTCTTTCTCTGCACACTCACCTGTACCTCATCATTCCACCACCAGGTCTCTTTGTCCTCCTTTCTCTGCCCAGAGGACATACCTAGCACCTTCCTACCTGTCTCCCTAATCACTGCAGCTGTAGTCTCCCAATCATCTGGGAATTCCTCAACACAGCCCAGAACTTCCCTTCCTTCCTTCCTGAAGTCTTCACAACATGTTTCTTTCCTTAATTTCCACCACTTGATCTTCTGCTCTGTTTTCACTCTCTTCCTTTTTGTCACCTCCCTCGTCATTTCGCACACTACCATCCGATGTTGTTTGGATACACTCTCACCTGCCACCACCTTAAAGTTAATCTGTGTGGTCCTGCCTCCACTCTTGTACGTCACCCTGTGTTCCTCTTTCTTTTGGAAATAGGTGTTTACCACAGCCATTTCCATTCTCTTTGCGAAATCTACCACTGCCTGTCCTTCCAAGTTTCTCTCCCTAACGCCAAATCTACCTATCATTTCCTCATCTCCTTTGTTCCCTTCCCCTACATGACCATTAAGGTCTGCTCCAATCACCACTCTCTCTCCCCTTGGGATACTCTTTATCATCCAATCCAACTCCTTCCAGAACTTCTCTTTTTCTTCCAACTCACAGCCCACCTGTGGGGCATAACCGCTAACAACATTAATCATCACTCCTTCTATTACTACCTTCACACACATCAACCTGTCTGACTCTAGTTTCACCTCTACCACATGTAGGTACTACAACAGTCCTTTTAAGGACTCTAACTCCCATAATTCCACTGCTTCCGGTAACTCCAACGTCACGATCAGTAACCTCCGCAACCTTTAAATTGGGGGGTCAGCCCCAATTTCATTCTCTCTGTTCAGGAATTTCGCTCCGTAGGACTCCATAGTCTCAGAAGAATAAGAACCAACACGCTTTTGTAGACACCATTGCCCACGGTGATAAATGCACTAGTAGCGTCTTTTTCTTAACTGAGTTAACCGGTAATAAGTTACACAAGTAACGTAGCGCTGCGACCAAAGCAGTTATTGAAAAGTTTAGAAGCGACAGGATTCCTTCTAACGGTAATCGTGTGAACCGGCACATCGACAGTCAGAGACTTTTCCTCCCGAAACGGACTTTCGGAACCAAGAGGGCTCTCTGCACACAGTGGAACCAGACGGACGTCCCCAACTCTGGCAAGGACCCAAGAAGTGCGGACTTTCCACTACTCTCTAAATACGAGCAGACGTTCACTACAGTAAGGCTGGCATTTGGGCACGTTAGTTAATCTGTAGTATTGTTAAGTGCTAAACTTAGGGACAGTTTAAGGGCGCATATTGAATTTTGTTGTCTGAAATCTGTGCTGCTTTTATAGCTAGGCTGTTGCATGCACTTCTTTTCTAACCTCCTGACTCGGTGTTATACTCTTGTACATCGTCAGTATTTCAGTGTTAACTTGTAACGTTATCAGTATTGGGATCAGGAAAACTCCAACAAAGTCCTTTGTCTTGAGTAGACCACGCGGTACGCCTCCCTCCCCCATATACTTTGATAACATCACAAACACTGTTTCATTGTACCTGAGCGCATCTTGGTGCGCATACACAACACCCTTTCACACCTCCGTGAGCGCATACACGCCTCACGTGTTTCCTGTTGCCATTCCTTCTACATCGCAGTTCTTCTTCCACTGCGCAGTCGCGTATGTGAACACGCCTCAAGGGCTCAGTCGGTTGCTTGGTAGCTAAGAGGCAACATCTCTCTCTCTCTTTCTCTCTCGTACACGACCACTCGTGTACACACGCACATAAGTACACACACACACATACACATACCTACACACACCTTGTTTTGTTATGATGATCATTGTTTATGAGTTCAATCACCGTCATTAACTTATCAGTGTTGTATAAATAAATTTGATTTTTTTTAAAAACTGTTTGTCTGTGTTGTTACTTTATTCATTGAAGCCACCCAATTTGCCAAGAACTCTCAAAATCCTTCAGATATTTAATTATTATTGAATACTATTGATTTTAGTATATTTGTAATACTTCAAGTAATACATTATTGCTATATTGGTAGGTTAAAATAATAATTAAAGATAACTTTAATGAGATTGGTTGACAAGCACTGTTTCATTGTACCTACCCACGTGTTTCCTGTTGCCGTTCCTTCTACCTCGCAGTTCTTCTTCCACTGCGCAGTCGCGTATGTGAACACGCCTCAAGGGCTCAGTCACTTGCTTGGTAGCTAAGAGGCAACATCTCTCTCTCTCTTTCTCTCTCGTACACGACCGCTCGTGTACACACGCACATAAGTACACACACACACACACCTACACACATGCCTTGTTTTGTTGTTATGATCATTGTTTATGAGTTCAATCACCGTCATTAACTTGACAGTGTTGTATAAATAAATTTGATTATTTTTGTAAACAGTATTTTTGTAAACTTTGTCTGTGTTGTTACTTTATTCATTGAAACCACCCAATTTGCCAAGATCTCTAAAAATCCTTCAGATATTTAGTTGTTATTAAGACTATTGATTATAGTATATGGGTAATACTCCAAGTAACACATTGTTGCTACTGTGGGGCATAACCACTAACAACATTAATCATCTCTCCTTCTACTTCTACCTTCACACACATCAACCTGTCTGACTCTCGTTTCACCTCTACCACATTTCTTACATATTCTTCCTTTAGGATCACCCCTACTCCATTTCTCTTCCCATCTGACCCATGATAAAACAGTTTGTAGCCTCCTCCAATGTTTCTAGCCATGCTGCCCTTCCACCTGGTCTCCTGCACACATAAAATATCTACTCTTCTTCTCTCCATCACATCAGCTATTTCTTTTCTCTGTCATTGTATCGACATTCAGAGTTCCAAACTTCAGACTAACACTTCTTTTCTTCATCGTTTCTCTTTTTCTCCTAACCAAACGCCCTCCTCTTCTTTTCTGTCTCTGACCAACAGTAGCCCAATTTCCATCAGTGCCCTGTTGGTCAACGGCACTGTTGGCGGTCGTTGTTGACCCGGGCCTCAACCGATCTGGTATGGAAATCGTTTTAGTGATTTGCATATTAGATTGGACTACAGGTTTTACGCCGCATGCCCTTCCTGACGCAACCCTCACCATTTATCCGGATTTGGGACCGGCACTATAAAACACTGATTCGTGTACCCTAGTGTCCTATTGCACAAAGACAGAATTATATGTTCGTGTGTGCTAAGAGCTTCGTCTGTGTAGTGAAGGTCAGTGCTGTCCTCAGACTATAACACTGTAGAAGCCATGTGCAGAGTGACACAAATTGAAACCACTGCAGCAAGTACAATGTTGGAGTGTTGCCTGTTAGACCACTGCCTAAAGAGAACAGAGCAGGAGGGCAACGTTTCTAGGCCTCCCATTATGCTAAGAATACCCTGTCCTTCTATTTTGTTTTTTAGCCAGTAATTCATTTGTAAATAACTGATTAATCTCAATGAACACTGAGAAGTTAACTGTGAAAAAACGACTGTTTTACATGAATATAAAGAGCATTTTTTTACATCAAAGTGTAATGTTTGTTTACGTATTTAATTTAGTCTGGTATGACAATCAATAGGTCGTCATACAGGTGGTTTAGGGATTAGAATTATGGACACAACACTTCATGTCAAATTTTAAGACTGTCTTGACTTGCCTTGACTTAAATACTAAGACATGTTTCACATGTAATTGCAATCCAGAAGTCTAGTTTCCTGGCTTTTAGACAGGGTTTTATTTAGTATTTACAGTGTAACTACTGTTCAACAATTGCAAACTACTTGGTTGAGATTTAGTTATCTAGTTATTTACTCACTATTTAGTATAGTATCTCAGTAATCAGTTGATTTGCAAGCACATATTAATGTAGATTTTCCTCACAGTCATGTCTGTAATATTTAACCAAATGATGGTTAAAATAGCCCCATTGATTATTATTTAATGAGACTGTTTCATTTATGACTGTCACATCTTTTAAGATGCTTCTGGGTAACTTGTAAAGGGACTTGCTTTATTATACTAAAATATTTTATATTAAAATATGATTCAACTTCTTACTTCTTGGGTTACATGACCTCCTTTTAACCCCCGTCATCAGTCAGAGCTGTTCCACAAATTCCATCCATCCATCCATTTCCATCCACTTATCCGTTACCAGGTCGCGGGGCAGCACCCAAATCACATTGCACCATACCAACCCCCCAAACGTTCCTGCGGGTGGTGAGTCCACTGGAAGGTACCAACCGCCCTAACCGGGGTTCGAACTTGCCCAGGAGGTGAACCCTGGTTCCACACCAATGACAGAGACATTGCCTCTGGGCCAAAGCGCCACATTCCACAAATTTGCCTCTAGTTTACCTCTAATACACTGCTTCCTCAATGAAAAGGATCTAATTACAATAAATATGTTCTTCTACATAGAAATCTAAATCTCTCAGAATTAATTAAGCAACCTACCTGCTGTTATTTGTCTTCCAGTTCCTGCAATATACAGAAAAAAAATCACAATTATCCACCATTTATCCACAGCCACCCTCTGATTAATCTGACTGCAAATCTGAAGTGATTGGCAGCCATAGTAGTAAGTCATTAGCATTTTCTCTGACATTTTAGCAATTAAATCTGAATTTTTTTCCAAGATAATCTTTATTCAAATAGTGGCTGTCGTTCTGAATGGGATTAACTTGTACTCCCTTGTCATTAACAGCAAGCACATTAGCTCATACAGTGTTTAGAAATCATTTTAATTTCTTTTTAGCCACTTTTTCTAGGAAAAGAATGTCATGTGCTCTGAATTATGCAGCGCTGAGCGGAGCCATTATCATTTATATACATACATATGATTATCTCTACTCCATGAATTTACAATAAATTAAGGCATGATTAGAAGTAGACTTCAACAATTGACCCTTGTCTTTCTGTAGGACACTGCAGGCCAGGAACGATACAGGACCATCACAACTGCCTACTACCGTGGGGCTATGGGCTTCATCCTCATGTATGACATCACCAATGAAGAGTCTTTTGGTGCCGTCCAGGACTGGTAAGTCTAGTAAGTTTCTGTTCTGATCTGTTCTGTTCTATTCTGTTCTGTTCTATTCTATTCTGTTCTGTTCTTACCTAGTTGAAAACTACTTCCAGAAGTGGTATTCTCTATAACAATACAACACCACACTACGTGTGTTGGGCAAAAGAACCACAACCATTCAGAGTTCTCTAAAATCTCTGAATCTCTCCACAATACTTCATAATTGTCTAATCAAATTTTTTCTGAATTATTGTTTTAAAACAGTTCTTACAATTAACTTACAAAGTTCAGTACCGTTTGGTTGATGTTGAGTTTATTCCAAATCCATTTACGTCTCTGTACTTTAGAAATCTACCGAACTGTTTCTGGTTTGACCAGATGGAATTACAAAAACTTAGTAGTAGTAATAAGTAAAACTAAATTGCCAAATTATGAACTTGTTTTGATTTATTTTATGTCCAACAATGGAACAGAGGTCATTGGATGCCTACTTATTTTTAGCCTAACTGAACAGTACCCTCCCATTGTCAGTGGTAATTTTTCAACATTTGGTTGACAGGCTTGTGTGTCATCAAGATCGAGGGATGAACTGGTCAAAGTCATGGCTGTGGTCCATCTTTGAGTCAAGCATCTACAGTCCCAGCTGTTCCAACTCCAAATGCTGGCATATTATGCCTAAGTAGTTGTGTCCAACTAGGGCTTTAGTAGGCTGTGACAATCCAATACAGAAATTGGGTTTGTGGGTTAAATATTCTTACTCCACAAACATGTATGGCTGCCAATTTGCAATCCCTCAACAGGTTGTGAGATGTATAATAAAGTAAGTCCCTTTTTAGCTACTCCATACCACCCTTCACTTATCTTCTTCTGCTAGCCCAAAATGTTATAGGAGCACAGAATAGAAGATCTTCTTGGGAAAATATGCTGAATCATCATAGTTCTCTGCATGATTTAAAGACACGGATAAGACTTCAGCCATATTAGAAGATTATGGTCTCAGTTGCTGGTTTCAAGTTCTCCTTCTCCTTCTGAACATTATGTAAACATTGTGAATTGTGATTCCACTTTACATTATTAACATTTAGAATTATTTTTATTAAATTAGATGTTTATAAATTAGATGTTTATAAAAAAGGAGAGCTTTTATTTTCTGCCCTTCATAAAACCAGAATCCTTCATTTTTGTGTCCCTTTTCCTTGTTCCTTCTGACATGGTTGGAGAAAAAATATAGACTTTCTATGACAACTGCTCCTTCCTTTACTGAAGATTAATTAAGTTGGGGACATGTACTTCCTGCTTGTGGTAGACAAAACACAGGAGAATCTTTCTGAGATTGGTCACATATTTATGTAATTTTTGTTCTATAACTGCCAGTGATGGGAATAATGTTATTAATGGCATTACTTTTTTCAGTAACAGGTAATCTAACTAATTACTAACTGCTTTAGTCAGCTATATCCAAATTCACTTCACGGGTTTAAAAGGAAAAGGAAAATAGTGACACTTGAATGACTTATTAAGAAAACTTAGCAAAAATGCTTCACAAAATGAAATACTAAACTGTCATTGATTGTTTTAGGTACCTACGATTACCAGACAAAAGTTATTATCGGAAACTGAAACAAGGGCAGTGGAGATAGTTAAGAGAAACAAGAGACACAACTGAAGCTAATGAGCGGAAGGAGAGCTAATCACCATTGAGGGAAAAAATATTTTGTATAGCCTGTTTTAAGTAAACTAGTTGTCAAACCCTATTTGGTCAACTAACCCATTAGTGTTCTTTTACTGTTTTGTCTGAATATTTATTTTTTATCTGTAATAGTGGGCTACTTTCCTAGCTGTTCCATTAGAAACAGCAAACTTACCTAACTGTGGGTTAAAAAGTTTAAACCTTCAGATCGTTGTCTGTTTATATAATACAAAATTGCCACAAAATAAGAAATACTAGCATCAGTTGATACTGACATAATTCCACTACTGACAGCCATTTGACCCACTTTTCCATTCAGCCAACAGTGACTCAATGATTTCACAATGATGCAATCTTTGGTTATGACCGCTCCAAATGGTCAACAAACTTTACATCATGTCCTTCAGTCTGTCACCTGCTGCTGATGCCAGTTTCCTTAGGCACCAATCCAATGTCTAATTGACCAAATTACTTGACAAATGGGTCAGCAGTGGTCAGGTGACCGTAAAGAATTGGTTTGTTTCTGATTTCCATGCAGGTCAACCCAGATAAAAACCTACTCCTGGGACAACGCACAGGTGGTTCTGGCTGGGAATAAATGTGATATGGAAGAGGAGAGAGTAGTCTCAGTGGACAGTGGACGACTGCTGGCAGAACAGCTGGGTAAGACTGACAATGTTTTTCTTTTCAACACATTTTTAACTAATTTGACTTAAAATGTTTCATGTTTCTGTTATTTAACTCCATCTTTTTTATACTGTTTAACATATATGTTTATGCTAAAACATGTCCGTGACTCCTCTCTTGGATGTTTTTTAAGTAAATACATTAATTTCTAGCCTCTATTCTCAACACCTTTAAACGTTTAAAGTTAGCTTTTAGGATTTCTACTTCTATTCATTCTGGTGATTCACTAGATTATTGAATGTGGTTGTCTGCAAATAAAAATATTGATGAAAGGTGGCAAAAAAAAAAAACAACAACAAACAGTCTCTTTTAATCTGTTGTAATCTCAAACACAAATGTTCAAAACCTTTTAAAATGGTGAAGGGTTCCTTGCTCCCCCACATGGAGGAGTTAATTATATAAATGCTAATTATATAATAAATACCTATGTTTTCATCTTGCTTTATTGTATAAACCCCAATTTAACTTGGTGCTAATTTTAGTACAAAATTGTAATATCTTAGAATTTCCAGTGTTTCTTACTCTGATTCTTTTTCTTCCAAAGGCTTTGAATTCTTTGAGACAAGCGCCAAAGATAACATCAATGTCAAACAGACCTTCGAACGTCTTGTTGACCTAATTTGTGACAAGATGTCCGAGAGCTTAGACACCGATCCAGCTCTCACCACAGGAGCGCCCACTGCCAAACTCACAGACACTGCTCCGCCCCTCCAGCAGCAAGGATGCAACTGTTAGTTACCAATGTCAGGAAACCAGGTGTGACACAGGTCCTAGTAAGATGTTAGTGTGCAGTCTTAATCTCCCTCAGCATTAATACTCCTGCTGATGCTGCTTTCTCTGGACTTCTATTCAAACTGTGTTCAGTAGTAGATTCACAAAATGTTGCCATGTTATCTTTTAATACTATCACCTACTATCCAGAGCAAATCGCCATACAGACAGAAATGCTACTGCAAAATATGTGATATTAAAAAATCTTTAAAATAAAGAGACATTGTCACTATGGCTTAGTATGGTTAATATAATAAGTCTTACAACTCATGCTATATAAATTAGAATATTTACAAAATACAGGATAGAATCAATTATTATTTGAGTGAGTCTTTTTTGTATAATTTTCTTTTCTTTTTATAAGGTTTCTTTCTTTTCTCCTAAAGCTTAGTGCACTATAGGATGTAGCCAATTGGTTTTGTGGAAGAAATGTGTGGATTTGGTGAGTGAGTGCAGGTTTGCATGAGTCTGAAAAATGTGTTTAAGTTGCAAATGAGTGAAACTTATCCTCCTTTAAAAGTGATCTACCTTAAATTAAAAAAAAAGTGGCCTTTAGCATCTTCAACTCGGCCGTACAACCCTGTTAGTTTTTTACTTTTGGAATGAACCCACTACGTTAATGTTCATGTAATTACTTGTCGATGATTTGCTTGACGTAGATGTGTGATACCTCTGGTAAGTGAAGTGACTCTTTCTATGTACAAAGCCTTTAACACATCCCAGACTTAGTTAAAAGCTAACAGCATGCTACCAAAAAGTTCTGTGTGGTTTTTTTTTATTTAAAGAAGAGCCTTGCCCAAACCTTCCAAAAAATTCTGGATTATAACTACAGCACTGTCAAGACACCGTGTTCTATATTCGAATCAGCTACTGACATCAATAAAAACAAATAAAATCCTAATTTAGAATTGTATGTTTTTGCAATAAAATTGCCCTCTAAAAATGTAAAATCTTTTTATAAAATACTTAACACTTAACAACATAAGGCTATAAAAAGCAGTTATATACAGATCATTTACAATATCAGTATCATAACTTCATTAAATAGAATCAAAGTCTGTAGCTCCATTTAAAAAACATAGAGAACATATACATTAGTGCCAAAACACTGCAATTGCTTTACTGTCATTGGTTGTTGCATAGTTAAATAAATCCTAAAAAATTGCATGAACCCAGTCCTGACTAATATGTGTAGGTTTATATTGTAAGAATAAGTGTATTCCATTCCATAACATTCCATGTTACAGATTCTAGAAGCATCGTCATAGCAGCTAGCTGTGAGATGCAATGGGCCAATAAGTGCAATATTTTATTAAATAAACCCTGTACATAGTTTCTCCTGTCCACGAGTATGATGACTGTGTCTGCAGTATGTGATAGGAATGGCTCTGAAACTGATGTAGAATCTCTAAAAGAGGAGAGAGTGTGTGTGTTGGCGTGTGAGTGTGTATGTGTGCGCACGTGTGCCTGCCACACTAAAGAGACAAAGTACATACTATAATGTATTGTTTGTGTATACCTTTTGTACAAATCTATTATACATACAACAATTCTGTTCCTGCTAACTGTCAAAATGCAGTGTTGTTGTGAAAGAAAATTTAAACTAATCAATGCCATGCCCATAATGATGTTATCCAAAAAAAGGGAATTTGCATAAAGTAGTTCAGATACCCTACATATGTTTGTACACGTGCTTTGTGCGTATACATCTGTGTATGCGTGTGACATTATCATTTGTGCTAACAGCTATCAAATAAATGATTCTAATTATCTTAAGTCAGGATTCATTTAATAGACAGACAGCAGCAATTCAACAGCTAAAACAGTCACTCTGGTCAAATGTCATATTAATGAACTACAACACTTACACTTACCTGGTTATATTTGTTTATTGGAGTGTAAGTAAAATGTGTTTTGGAAAATAGAAAATAAATTTGATTCTAACAGTGAGCTGTTGTGATCTCTGCAATGCATGTTGAATATTTGCTGACAATAACGCCCTCTGGCGGCTAATCAGGGGTTTGTTCTCCGGAAGCAACGCTTACGTCCTATTCTGCAGTATTTTAAAATATTGTACGCCACCTAGTGTTTTACTGATGTACTTGCATTACGATTATAGCAAGTTACCACATCAATAATCAGATAAGGCTGAAATTACACAGAATTAAATTACATTAAACTAAGATAAAATATAAAAGGAACAATTTAATCTACTGGGTTGCTAAACGCCTCTGCTTATTTCTGCTACAATAGGAAATATACTACAACATACTAGTTGTTTGTGCAATCATATTATCAATATTAATACAAGCCAGTGTATGGATGACTAATAATTTGGTCACTAATCTAAATAATAATTAAATATGTTTTGTTAATATACAATTCAATAATGAAAACAAAAATGAACCTCAAAATGTTCCTTAACAGTAAATGTACCCTTATTAGCATTTGCCGTTAAAAAATACTCAAACTAAAAGACAGTATTAACGCATTTTCTCGCCCACAGAATAGCTTTAAAAGATTGAAAGATTTAAATAATAATAATAATAATAATAATAATAATATACATAGTATTTGGAACGGAAGTTTAGCATCATCTAGTGGTTAACGACCACAGCATTCGTATTGAAACGAGGCGCACTTGTTGGAAAAGTTCAAATGCATAGTATTGTAATATATACATTTAATTGGAAGATTTTAATATAAGTTATTCCATTGACACATAGAAAACACTTACAAGAAGGTATAACAGATGTTTCTTACCGTTAAATCTGCCTTGTTTGACAACACGTGTACTGATTGTCCACGAAGTCTGCCCCCTATGTTGGATCACCATGTTTCTGCTAAGCTAAAAGAGGACAACACCCTTTTTGGTTTGAATAAATAGATGCAACAATCCTCTGTTCTTCAATGTTCTTGAAAAACAAGAAGTCAATAATATTGAAGCACAGGATATAACCACTAGATGATCTTCTTCTTCTTTTCCTTTTGGCTTTGTCCCTTTTTCAGGGGTTGCCACAGCGAATCAACATTTTCTCTCTGCATCCCTGTTCTCTGCATCCTCTACTCTGACTCCAACTATCTGCATGTCCTGCCTCACTGCATCCACCTTATCTCTTTTTCTCTGAGTCCACTAGATGATGCTATATCCATTAAAAATTAAACGTTAATAGATAAACTATTTGTTACTTTGGTTACAAATTATGAATTTTCAGCAAACAACATATTTTTAAGCATGAATAAATATTGATTGCATTTGGAAAATCAGAGTAAATCCAAAAATAATTAGTTGCATCATGTACTTGTAAGGCTACAAAGGTTATTCTGAAATATATATTTATACATGGTTTCATGTACTATTGATGATTCTGTAGATAAGGTAGTTATCTAGTGTTAAAGACTTGCTTTCATGTTTACATTTTGTCAGCACAGCCATCAAAATCAAAGTAAGTTCAATCAAAGTTGCAAGTATACTGGAAAAGGCTGAAATCTGAGTAGGGATAATAAATTAAAAAAAATGTTAAGGACATTCTTCTGATACCTTCTCAACATATTACCATAAAATAAAGCATTAAAGAAGTTTACCATGTCAAATACAGTAAGCCTGGAATATGAACAAGCATCCATAATAATGACAAACATAATATGTGAGTAGGCAGAATCAACCCATGCTTTTATTTAATTCATTGCATATAAAAACTTTTTTTTCATTATTTTATTTTTTTACATAAAGTTGTATGATCTACAGTGCTATCCAATAGACTGTGATTAACAAGGAATCCATTAAAATAACATTGTAATTATCCTGTGAGACTTCCAGACAAGTTGGCATTCTAAAGGCATAACACAAAAATAATTGTCCCGAAGACCTTTTTTTAAGTTACAGTTTGTGTTTTCCTTTCATACCATAAAAATAGAACACAGAATGAGAAAAAAACCCACTGTTTCCATTGGTCCAGGGCTGTACAGAATCTACAGTATGTGTGTCAAAATAAGAGTCTTCATCCTAGTACACGGATGTCGCACAACCCCAACCCGAGTACCCCAACTTCCCTACCGTTTTCTATACTACAGAAATATACTCAAGTCAGTGGTTTTTGACTATTGCAAGTAATGTGAGTGGTAGTGTGGGCCAAGCATAGATAGGCAACACACTGCCAGTGTTCTAGCCGTAATTTAATGCAGCAGTGGCTGAACATGCAGATGTGTCTGAAAGCCTCTGTGCTTCATGGGCCATGGTCCAGGACCAACTGCACACTCCCATAGTGCCACGTTCTGAGTTTCCAGCTGCGAAGCAACCGGATGGATGTAAACAACAAATGGAGTAACCCCCTGAAGACCCAAAGAAGACATCCATGCTGTTTCCACCCAACATGCTGAGTTACATCTTTGAGTGGATAGTGGCAGCGTTTAAAGCAAGTGTGAGTTGATCAGACCACGTCTACAGCAAATGTGACTCTTTCGACATCCAGCTTTAGGCCACACAAGACCCAGGTAGTAAATCTACGACTCGGCGTTGACCTGTATCTCTACAACCCGTGCGCTCCCAAGAATTTTCTCCTCAATGAACTTGTTAAAGTTAATTTGGCTCTTTAAAAAAAAAATTAAAGGCAACTTTTTCACAACAGGAGATCAGGCTAACCTGAGCCAACAGAATTACCAATGCAGCAATGCAACTAGAAAAAATCAAAGAAATAATAAGCTTGAGTAAATTACATCCCTTGAATTTAAGGCAGAGCCCATGGGCCAAGGAACAGTTTCTTTTTTAAAAAACAATTTGGCTTTCCCTCTCTCTTTACTGAGTTAGTTCTCAGATAAGTAACATGTTGATGGATTTTTTTTTTACATCTAAGCTCATGTGTAATAAACATTCTCTCAACAAGAGGTACATAATACAGCCACACCATCACCAAAAGGGATGATAAGAATCAACCATTTACCACAAACGACATTATGATAGTAATAACATTAATAATTATATATTATATACAGCATAATAAATATATGTCTGTAAACAGCGATAAAACCAGAAAATCTTATTATAGGTAAGGGCATTGGGTGAGGATGAAAAAAGAAGAAAGAAAAATAAACTTGGCACAAAAAAGATAAATAAAAAGTCTGAAAATGAAACATAATTAAAACATAAAAAAAAGCAGTGTGCAGATCTTCAAGTGTTTTTTTTTTTCTTTTGTGGGTTTTTTTATATTTTATGTACACAGAAAGAAGTATATTTGAGTATTGTAACTGGCAAGCCTGTACTGTTGTCTATGCTACAGTCAAATATTCACTGTATCACCTTTATATTGCAAAAATCCATCCAACAAATATAAAATATACCAATAAATAATAGCATATGGTGCAAAGGGAAAACATTAAAAAAGGAAGAGAGAGTACGTGAGAGAGAGAGACTCTTGGCCAAGGTGTAAGACAGCATTATTCAAACCTAAGTATGCAGAGTTGGTCAGTTTAAAGTGAAAAATATGTTATATATATGTGGATATATGAGTATACTATCAGTGCATTACAGTGTCTACTGTATGTGGAGGAAAGTCTTATCTGATGACTACTTGATAAAGCAGATTGATTGTCCTGTTGAAAAACAAAGACAGCCATGGTTATAATGTTGCCGTGGAACAAAAATCAATCAATTGGCCGAAGATGGGACAGCTCATGTGTGTTAAATGTGCAAGGCGAAAACCGAAGCAAGTCAGTAAAAAATTTTATATCCTTGGTTTCCACCCACTGTCTATTGTTATTTTTTAACTTCTGTTATCCTGGAGCACTAATTTAGTGTCTTTTTGTATCATCTACAAAGCATTGCATTGTCTCAAAATGTGCTCAAAAGAACTGCAGGCAATGATAATAAGAAATCGAAAGGCTTCAGCCACATAATCACATGTATCCAGTAAAGACAAGTTAAAGCACATGGTTTAGATTAGGGTTTCTTTCAAATTCTGCATTTGAACTCACAGGACAAACCAAATATGAGTATAATGGCATGGGAGTAGTAACATAATGATTTTAGAGCATGTTTAAACACTCCTGATGCACGCCAGTTGTCAACTCCTACACAATATGTGAATATGTGTCACTCATGTCTCCCTAAATCATTTTAAAGAGTGTAATGCAAGAAAGTGGTGCTTTGGCCCAGAAGCAATGTCTCTGTCATTGGTGTGGAACCCCAGGATTCACCTCCTGGGCAAGTTCGAATCCCGGTTAGGGCGGTTGGTACGTTCCAGTGGACTCACCACCTGCAGGAAGGTTTAGGGGGGTTGGTACGGTGCAATGATTTGGGTGGCAACTGCTGCCCCGGGACCCGGTAATGGATAAGTGGATGAAAATGGATGGATAGATAATGCATGAAACAAACATACAAACATTGGATAGTTACATACAGTTCCATAAAAATAAAGAGGTCTAAAAACTGCATTGATGCCTGTTTGGGTTTGAGCTTAGTGTCTGTCAGGGTGTTTTTTTTTTTTTAAGGAAGACTACCAGACTGGAGAAGTCCATTGTGTTGCAGCTTTAATTTCTGCAACATCCAAACAGAAGTTTTACCAGAAAAGCAAAGCATCCTGATTTCTATTGTATAGTGTAAAGAAAATTACCCAACCATGAGGGGAATTTCTGCTGACGCATGTCAGTAATCGTCTCTGTTGGGGATGGACACCTAATAAAAATCACTTCTATACTTTCTGGCAAGGCTGAGGCAAAGCTTGAAATAAGAGCATGAGACAAAATGTAACATTACGGAGCAGACTGTCCATGTCCTACAGTGGAGGTGGAGAGTTGAACTAAAGACACACCACTTTCAGTACAGAGGTGGATGAAAGAAGGTTTCCTGAGTGCAAAAAAACTTGAAGAAGTACTAGTGGGTGTGTCTGAATGAAGCTAAAAATGAGAGAGTGACCAAGGTGGACAGCAGCAAATTCTTTAGAACCATAAACAAAGTTGTATAAAAAAACACAGGCAGACTCAACAAAATATTCTATAAATAATCTGTCATTACTAAGAAGAACAGTTAGTCAGGTGCTGTCCATACACTGCTATGTGTCAGAGGATTTCTTGTTGTCCTCCACCTCTGCTACGTCCTCCAACACGCACGGTTGTAGGCAGGGTACCTCCTCCTGATTCTTCGCTACCTCCTCCTCCTCCTCCACCACCTGTTCGTCCAAAGGGATCTCTGTTGATTCAGAGTCCTGCGTACAGAGTGTTTTAGAATCAGTACAGCTGTTGTCCTCTTCCTCCTCGTCTTCCTCCTCTGGCTGACTGCCACTGTCTTTCTCAGTGTCCGACTCGCCGTCCTCTTCCAGGGTGAGCTCAAACTGGAACTTGTCCCCGCCAGGTGGCCGAGTGCTGTCCTCAGGCTCATCCAGTGCTGGAGAAGGACTTTGGGGGATGGTACTTTGGTACCACTCCCTGTTGTCTTCCAATGTGTCCAGGATGTCTTGGGCATCTGGATGGACCAGGTCAGCCCACGTCTCCCACAAAGGGTGAACGATATAATCGATGAAACCGACCTACGAGATACAGGAATAAATGAAGGACATTTAGATTTCTCTTTGTATATGTTCACAGCGGTTTTGTGTGTATGTGTGTTACCTGGCTCTTTTCTACTGAGGCATTGTGTTTGTCACACATGGGGCTGATCTCCATGCCTCTCTCCCTCTCTCGATCACCCTGGCTGTAGAACTCCTCCATGATGCGGTCCGTCCACTGACAGTACAGCTGCAGAGGTTTGGTGGGGTTGCTCAGGTCCGCACAGTGAACCATGTTCTGGAGAACCTGAAAATAGAAAACAACAACTGGAAATAAAACACACTGCGGCCTGGTCAATCACCAGAACTACAATATTATTGTTTGTCATTGTGAAACTGCACACCACTGCACAAACAACAAAATGTGACCTCTGCTTTCAACCCATCACTAAAGTCAGCACGGTGTGTGGAGACGGTGCCATGCTCAGAGCACCTCAGTGGTGCCTGGGAACCTGAAATCTTTTGGACCCAAGTAATTTGGAAACAAATATTTTCTCCATTTAATGAATAAAACAAAACACTGACTATATTGAAGGGAATGTGATCCTGATTTTTTTTTTTAAAAAAAGGTTGATTTTGCTGTCAGGTGACCGACAAAATGATCTACCTATAGTATGTGTGACCGAAAGTTAAATATTATATGAAGAATCCAAGGTGCTTCAGGAAAGTCAACCTGGACGTACTTAAGAACCAACGGCCAAATAATGTAGACTGAACTTCTATGGATAATTACATACACTGTGATAGTTGTGTCTGCAAATAAATCCAAACCTGTATCCTGTCAGAATAGTTGTCCAGCAGCAAGACACCAGAGCTGGTCACCTTCTTGGTTTCTACCATAGTCTTCAGATCAGCCAGTAGATTCATGTGCTTTGACATGTCTGTTGCAAGCACCTGAAAATAAAATATTATGGTCATTAAAATTCTACCACTCAAACACAATACTAATACAAATAAATAAAATTAAAATATTAAATAAAAGCTTTATTTATTTTTTGCTCTGAACAAAGACTTACAATATCAATGACCATTTTCCGTAGTGATTGTCTTTGTTTTTTGGTCAGGTTTTGGAAGATGTCACAGTTCTCCTCCTGCAGGAGCTTGAAACCGACTGCTAAATGGTGGTTCTCCAAAACAGATGAGTCATTATACATCAACGCTAGCTCAGAATCTGCAAGGAATACAAAAACAATATTGGTTAAAATTGGCAAACTTACAAGCACTCCCAAAAAATACCAAAGCACAATATGTATAAAAGAAAAATGTGGAATATAAAGAAAAAAAATTATGCACCAAAGAAATAAACTTTAGCACATTTATTGTCAGGGAATAATAATAATAGTAAAAAAAAACAACTATTGAGTGACTCCATCCTGCAGCAGAAAACAGCTGCTGAGAGGTTTCCCCATTGAGGATCATCTGAAGGTCCTCTTGCTGTATTTAGATTTTCCATTAAGATGCATTAGTCGTAGCCACTTTGGATCAGAGTACAGGAAAGCAGAAAGGGGATCCTGCCTGTTTCACTGAGCCTGACAGAGTATCAGACTGGTGTCTCCTAACTAGGATGACTCACACTCACCTTACTGCAAGGATTCCTAATTTGGCTTTATGGGAACTAGACAGCACATTTTGAGTGGTAAGTGCATCAAAGAGTGCCTTGTTGTTTTTGTTTTTGTGCTGCACACATTTTGTACAGTAATGTTCGGAATGACAAACAGTGGTTGTACAAACTGTGACATTTTTTTTTCAAGTACAAAAAAAGAAATACTGTATATTTGAAACACCTCCAACCATGAGTGAGTCAGTAACAGCAGACATGGTTCATCCACTCTCTCATCAACTACACCTATGTTACAGTCAAATATTCAGACTTTCTGCACAGTCTGAATATACTGTATATACAGAAATTCGAAGTGTATTTGACTACACCACCCTTATCGGGGCGGAGCTACGCCTGCTACCACCGTGGGCAGGGCTCCTGTATTTTGTGCCCACGTAGCGGGGCGTAAAAAAATATTTTAAAAAATAACAGGAATGCGAGGCAAGCTGCTTCGATATAAATGTCTTTATTTATTCACTAGTGATGGGAAGACCGACTCTTTTATTGATTCGAATCTTTGACTCTCGAACAGAAAAATGAACGAGTCGTGAGCGAATCTTGAACTAATCATTTCATTCGTTTTACAGCAGGTGGCGCTTTAGCCCTATTGTGGGCGTTGTAAAGAAGGCTGCGGTTCTCCGACACTAAATAAGGCAACATGGTTTGCTTCCGCTGACAAAGTCTACAAAGCACACAAATGCCACAAGTAATTAAAACCATGTGAAAAGCTAAGAAATAAAAACACACCACAATGTGAAGATGAATGAGAGCAAAAAAGACCCGAGCTCTTTCACGACAAATGAAACGAATCTGCGAGAACGAGGCGAAAGTTCACAGAGAGTGAATCGTTCATAGTGATTAGTTCACAGCAAAAAATTAGTTCACGGCGAAAGATTAGTTCACAGAGAATGATCCGTTCATAGCGATTAGTTCACAGCAAAAGATTAGTTCACGGCGAAAGATTAGTTCACAGAGAATGATCCGTTCATAGCGATTAGTTCACAGCAAAAGATTAGTTCACGGCGAAAGATTAGTTCACAGAGAATGATCCGTTCATAGCGATTAGTTCACAGCAAAAGATTAGTTCACGGCGAAAGATTAGTTCACAGAGAATGATTCGTTCACAGCAAAAGATTAGTTCACAACGAAAGGTTAGTTCACGGGGAAATATTAGTTAACAGCGAAAGATTAGTTCACAGTGATTAGTTTGCAATGAAAGATTAGTTCACAGTGAATGATTAGTTTGCATAGTAATTAGAAAGATTCGTTCATTTTGAACGAATCACTAGCGAACGACACATCACTATTATTCTTTTTCGCTGCTTCACTTCTCCCCTTTTCGAACTCTCTTTTTTTCTTTCTTTCTTTTTTTTTTTTTTTACAGACCATACTTCACTCGCAACGCGGAAGAAAGAATGAGCAATCCGGTACAGAACAACACATTTTCAGTACGTCGACAAGGAACCTGTGAACAAATCATTGTTTTAAAGACAACACAGTACACTAAGTCATATGACAGCTATCAAACAAAATATCTTCAAACAAAAGTTAACATAAATCACTGTTTGCATTACTGTTGCTCTTTTCCTTTCTGGGAGACGTTCATAATGATCGTCAGCACAATGGTAAGCATTATCAAATAATAACATATAGAAATAATATATTTCCCAACAAGTATTTATAACGAATTATAACAATTTTTATCACTCTTAAATTATCATTACGTTACTCTGAATCCCCCACTGATTCAGTGAGCTTAGCTTAGTTAACAATTTTATGACTTTCTTATTCTCTTTAACGTATTTATTACATTTTCTATTACACAGCATTCACTGTTTTATTTTGTAATACTTGTATTACAAATTTAACCATGACATATGCAGGGGCTGTTTTATGGGGATCTCCTGTGCCGCCTGATCGGTGGTAGCAGGCATAGTTGCGCACCGGTACCAACAGTGTGGTCAAATACGCTTCATATTTTTGTATATATATTCCGGTTTCTTGTATATATATTCAGGATTTTTGTATATATATTCAGACTTTTTGTATATGTATTCAAAGATTAATTTCCTGAACGGCATGCCATAATCTTTATATATATATATATATATATAATTGGTCCATCCGGGTTGTAAGTAGGTCTTTTGGTTCTGTGTTCGTCTATGTACAGTATATATATATATACTGTGGAACCTCAAGATACAAGCAAGCTTTTGAGTAAATTTTTGCTTCTAGATACGAGTAAAGATTTGAGATATAAGCATGCTTACAGACGCCAACGCTAGGTGGCTGAGCACTTGGAGCATCCCACGCCATCTCACAGAAGTTAAGTTAATTCTAAGTTTATGTAAGTTACATAGTGTACATGCAAGGTAGGGTACGGATTCAAGGGTCTACGTACGGGCCAACTCTCTTCCCTCCCTTCCTCACTCCTCCTCCGCACATGCCACCATTAGCCATTATTGTATCGTCTGTCTCGAAGGTAAGAACTCATAAGCATAATTAAAATCACATTTTATTTTATATCACAGGAATCCTTATATACTATATTTTTACGTTTCTCCTGAGCACGAGATACTTTCTTGTGCTCACGAGAAACCTTAGGCTAAGCACAGGCAGTTGTGCTTCCTGTGCGTATACCTCAAGGCTCATTAGGATTATTAAAAGAATGGCTACAGAAATCTACGAAAGCGTATTGCTGCCACACTAAGAAAAATAACCTGTCTCAGTACCACGTAATTACGTGATAAGATTCATGTTATTTCGTGATAAGTTTAACGTAATTACGTGATAAGTTTCATGTTATTTCGTGATAACTATCACGTTATTTCGTGATAACTTTTCACGTATTTATGTGATAAATCGTACTTAGGTAACAATGTATAAGTTGTATTCATGGTGCCTTCCGTGCCCTTCCAGTTGATCAATTAGGAACGACACCACCAAGAGGCTCGGATTCGTTCTTTCTTACAACCCCATGTTTTTTAAAATCCTTCTGAGAATACGTGCACTGCTTTCATCCAGTTTCAGCTGCCAGAAGCTATGTGAGGCATCAAGCTTCGTAATGTAGCAGGCACCTGACATTTCACTGATGACCTCTCCGAGTGTGGGTATTTGATAATGTTCACATTTTATGCTCTCATTTAGGTATTTAGAGTCTAATATATTCTAAACTCTCGATTCTTTTTCTTTGTGACGACCATTGAGTTGACCCAGTCTGTTGGCTCATTGACTTTTTTGATCACCCCTAGCATGATCATTCTGTCAATTTCTTTCTTTAGGCCGTCTCTCAGTGGAGCAGGAACTCAATGTGCTGCATGCACAACTGGTGGATAACCTTCTTTCAACTGTATTTTGTATGTGAAGGGCAAAACACCAAAACCCTGGAAAACATCTGAAAAGTTCTGAACTTTTGTTTCCATAGAGTAATTTACTGGGTTTATGGTTGGTATGATGCGATACACTCTTTTCACAAGCCCCAGTTCTTCACAGGCTCTGTCACCCAGAAGTGATTCAAGTCCCTCATTCACAACAAAAAAGAGGTAGAGCACTTTCCCTTTTACTGCAACACTTAACCTGCATGTGCCCAAACATTTAATTGGACGCCCATTGTAGTCTTTCAGTCCAGAATCTTTCCTTTTTATTTGTGGCTTATTTTTCATTGCCTTTATATCACACATGCTTATGAGTTTTGCTTTCGCACTAGTGTCCAATCTCGTGTTGACTACAGTCCCATTTATCATTAGGGGAGCTATTCATTTATCTTCTCTAGTGACATCAATTACATTGTCTGGATTGTTTATTTGTTCACTTTCACCATACCAACAAAGAACGTGTCACTGAGATCAGGCTTCTCCACTAAGTTTACAGTTTTTCCTCTCTTCCCCTCTTTTGCCTTGGAAAAGCATTGTTTAGCAAAGTGTTTCTTGCCTTGGCAACTGGAGCATTGCTTACCAAACAATGGACACTGTTTAGGCATGTGCCGTAAGCCACAGCGCATGCAGCTTATCATCACGTCCTCCGACTGCTGTGTGTGTCAAATTTACTAAGCACTACATCCAACTTTTCACTATCATCAGGACTGTCAAAGACAAACGTGTTAAATACTTCTATGGCCTGTGGCCCTGTTATCGTTAGCAGCAGCGCTACCTTTCTTGTCTCCGGTTTAGTCACAAGAAACGTTCAATTTTTCCCCATGTCCCTTTAGCAATTAAAAACATTTTTTTTCTCCATTGTTATAAGCACTAATGAGTTTTTTAGAGGGACAGAACAGATACTTTTTTTTTTCTGTTATTTCTTATGGGGAAAAATGATTCGAGATACGAGCACCTCGAGTTACGAGCTAGAACGGATTTTGCTCGTATCTCGAGATTTCACTGTATATGTATATATATAATTTTGTTTTTGCATTATTTCTGTCTCCTGGAAACCATACTGTATATCTACCAATCACTTGCCATCCATCTATCCATCCATCATCAACCACTTATCCGGGGCCGGGTCGCGAGGGCAACAGTCTGAGCAGGGACACCCAGACTTCCCTCTCCCTCGACACTTCCTCCAGCTCTTCTGGGGGGACCCTAAGGTGCTCCCAGGCCAGCCGTGCGACTTAGTCGCTCCAGCGTGTCCTAGGTCTTCCCCTAGGTCTCCTCCCAGAGGGACAGGACCCGAGCACCTCCCGAGGGAGGCGTCCGGGGGGCATGCGATGTATATGCCCAAGCCACCTCAGCTGACTCCTCTCGATGTGGAGGAGCAGTGGCTCTACTTCGACCTCCTCCCGTGTGACAGAGCTCATCCTATCTCTAAGGGAGCGCTTTGCCACCGTGCGGAGAAAGCTCATTTCAACCGCTTGTATTCGGGATCCCGTTCTTTCGGTCATGACCCAGAGCTCATGATCATAGGTGAGGGTAGGAACGTAGATCGACCGGTAAATTGAGAGCTTTGCCTTTCGGCTCAGCTCCTTCTCCACCACAATGGACCATTACAGCGACCGCTGCACCAATCCGCCTGTCAATCTCACGTTCCATCCTACCGTCACTCGTGAACAAGACCCCAAGACACTTAAACTCCTCCACCTGAGGCAGGACTTCCTCCTTAACCCAGAGGGTGGAAACCACATTTTTCTGGTCAAGAACCATGGCCTCGGACTTAGAGGTGATAATTCTCATCCCAGCGGCTTTACATTCGACTGCAAACCGCCCCAGTGCATGTTGCAGGTCTGGCTCGAAGAAGCCAACAAGACAACATCATCTGCAAAAAGCAGAGATGAAATCCGATGGCTCCCAAACTGGACCCTACCCAACACTTGTGAGGTGACAAAGGGGAGCCCTGCCGTAGTCCAACATGCACCGGGAACAGCTCCGACTTACTGCTGGCAATGCGAACCAAGCTCCTACTCCGATCGTATAGGGACCGGACAGCCCTTAGAAGAGGGCTCCCGACCCCATACTCTCGGAGCACCCCACACAGAATACCACAAGGGACACGGTTGAAAGCCTTTTCCATGCCCACAAAACACATGTGGACCGGTTGGGCATACTCCCATGAACCCTCAAGCACCCTGTGGAGGGTATAGAACTGGTCCAGTGTTCCATGACCAGGACAAAAACCGCATTGTTCCTCTTAAATCCGAGGTTCGACTATCGGCCGGATTCTCCTCTACAGTACCCTGGAATAGGAGTGTAATCCCCTGATAGTTAGAACACACCCTCCGGTCCCCCTTTTTGAAAAGAGGCACCACCACCCCAGTCTGCCAGTCCAGGGGTACTGTCCTGGACTGCCACCCGATGCTGCCGAGACGTGTCAACCGACAGCCCCACAGCATCCAGAGACTCGAGGTACTCAGGGCGGATCTACAAAGCTAATCGATCTGTCGAGGACACCGTAAACCTGGAAATCCACCACACTCTGAACCACCTGGAGTCTGCCAACACATACGCACGCATACTATTCATGGATTTCAGCTCTGCCTTCAACACCATAAAACCAGCCATACTGCTCGACACATTACTGGACATGGAAATCAACCCATGCATCTGCCACAACATATCCTCCCTCTGTCCCTCAGTACGGGCACTCCACAAGGTTGCTTTCTTTCTCCCTGGCTCTTCTCTATCTACACTAACCAACTCAAAACACACCATGGATCTGTCAACATAAATAAATACGCAGACGACACAACCATCATAGGACTCATCACCAACAACCAAGAATCTGAATACCGTGCACAGATCAACCAAACTATGACCTGGTGCACAGACCATAGCCTTCACCTTACAGACACACAGCAAAAACAAAACAGCTCATTGTCGACCTCAGACCCCAGCCATCTCTCAAAACTCCTGTGTACCCAGGTGAACCCATCTCCATCACTGACTCTGTCAAACTCCTCGGCACTCACATAAGCAATGACCTCAAATGGAAAACAAATGCAGATCACATCCACAAAAAAGCCCAGCAAAGACTCTTCCACCTCCGACAGCTCAAGAAGTTCAGAGTGAAACCTCATCTACTGGTCCGGTTCTACACAGCCATTGTTGAAAGCATTCTAACCTCATCCATCACAGTCTGGTTCANNCTTGATAGACTCTACCGGAAGAAACTGCAGCGCATAATCAACAGAATATCAAAAATCATTGGCAGCCCCCTCCCATCCCTGGATTCACTACACCATAAAAGAACTGTATGTAGAGCCCACAATCATCTCGGACCCCACTCACCCTGCACACTATACATTTCAGCTTCTGCCCTCCGGAAGGCGCTACAGGACAATTGCCACCAGAACAACAAGTTTTAAAAACAGCTTTATCCCCGCTGCCATACAACTTCTGAACTGCAGCAGATAATCATAGATCACGAATTGAGAATTGCTTGATGTCGGAGCTGTGAGTTTGCATATCCCTAATGTCTCAATCTGTGCCCCCAGTCTTATGCTATATGTTATACGTTACGTCTGTTTGTACTGAAAACAAATTCCACCTGGCTGCAGTGTGGTCTTTGAAGAATTATTCATTCATTCATCTCATCCACCCCCGGCGTATTTTTGAGTCTTAGCTCCCTCCGCGGAAGGCGTGTCAATGGGATTGAGGGGATCCTCGAAATATTCCTTCCACATCCCGACGACATGCTTAGTTGAGGTCAACAGCCCCTCCTCCAGATCCCCCTCCACGCTGTGAACAGCAGTGGTGGGATACTGCTTCCCCTTCCTCAGGCACTGGATGGTTTGCCAGAATTTTTCGAGGCTGAACGGTAGTCCTCCTCCATGGCCTCCCCGAACTTTTCCCGGACCCGAGTTTTTGCTTCTGTGACTACCCGAGCCGCAGTCCGCTTGGCCTGCCCGTACCTGTCGACTGCCTCAGTAGTCCCACGAACCAACCAGGTTCGGTAGGACTCCTTCTTAAGCTTGACGACTTCCCCTATCTCCGGTGTCCACCACCGGGTTCGGGAATTGCCACCACGACAGGCACTGGAGACCTTACGGCCTCAGCTTCAGACAGCCACGCCAACAATGGAAGTGGAGAACATAGTACACTCAGACTCGATGTCTCCAGCCTCCCTCGGGACCTGTTCAAAGCTCTCCCGGAAGTGGGAGTTGAAGGCCCCCCTCACCGGGGATTCCGCCAGACGTTCCCAACAGACCCTCACGATACATTTGGGCCTGCCAGGTCTCTCCAGCTTTGCCCCCTGTAAGCGGAGCCAACTCACCACCAGGTGGTGATCAGTTGACAGCTCAGCCTCTCTCTTCACCCTAGTGTCCAATACATACAGCCGGATGTCAGATGACACAACTACAAAGTCAATCATTGACCTCCGGCCTAGGGGGTCCTGGTGCCAAGTGCACTGATGGACGCCCTTATGTTTGAACATGGTGTTTGTTATGGACAAACTGTGACTAGCACAGAAGTCCAATAACAAAACACCACTCGGATTTAGGTCGGGGAGGCTGTTCTTCCCAATCACGCCCCTCCAGGTGTCACTGTCGCTGCCCATGTGGGTGTTGAAGTCCCCCAACAGGACGATGGTATCCCTGGGAGGAGCACTGTCCAATACCCCTCCCAGTGCCTGCAAGAAGGCCGGGTATTCTACACTGCTATTCACTGTAGGCCGAAACAACAGTGAGACACCTATCCCTGACCCGAAGGCGCAGGGAAGCGACACTCTTGCTCAGTGGGCAGAACTCCAACACACGACTGGCAAGCTGGGGAGCTATAAGTAAGCCTACGCCAGCACGCCGCCTCTCACCACGAGCAACTCCGGAGTAGAACAGAGTCCAACCTCTCTCAAGGAGTTGGGTCCCAGAGCCCAGAGTGTGCGTGGAGGTGAGCCCAATTATATCCAATCGGTATCGCTCAACCTCCCACACGAGCTCAGGCTCTTTTCCCCCCTGTGAGGTGACATTCCATGTCCCCATAGCCAGTGTGGTTGTCCAGGGATTGGGCCGTCAGTTCATGTTCATGTTCATGTTCATTATTTTCTTAGAAGATTTCAGCCTGAATAATGTTGTGTTACAGGAACACAGTCCCATAAAGGACTCCGTCGATCTCCTTTTTGAAGTCCTTCTGTTTGAATTCATATGTTAAATCCACAACATCTCACTCAAAACACACGTGCCTCTGAGACCAGATAGAAAAATGTAGCACGTGTGATGGTTGGATGCAGACTGAACATTATTCCCATCCACTTTGGGCATTAAAAAAATATTTTTAGAAAGGCTGAGTCCCTGCAATATGTTACATTGTTTGTGTGTGTGCTACTGATGTAGAAAGAAGTTATAGTATGTGTGTGATATCACACCGGGTTTCAGTTTGTGACTGATTGTGAATAGACACCAGAGGCAAAGACGAGCCGCTGACATACAGTAGCTGTTAAGATGGTGCTGTATTTAGACTCACTGGTGTTGATGAGGAACTGATTGGAGACTCCAGGATGGTCCACGTCATGGATTGCACTAGCGAAGATGGCAGCTAAGATTTCGAGGTCAGTGAACACAGCCTAAAAAAACAAACAGACATAATCCATCCCAGAGAGGAGGAATAGACGGCAATGATTGAAGGATCAAAAAAATCATCCGGGCAACAAAGAGTCATTAATAAACTCCAATTTAAGAGTTTGAAGCTGATTGTGGAAGAGTAGATGCATGTGTGTGAGTGCACATGTGCGTGTGTGCATGTGCACCTCACCTCCAGGGCAGGGGTGGACAGCAGCACGTGAGTTGACTGGGTGACGTCAGCAGCATGGATGTTGTTGTGGTAGGCCACGTCGGCATGGTAATGGTCTTCTAAGGTCATCAGGTATGTTATAAAGGTGTCTAGTGGAATTTTAAATGTTTTTAACAAATCCCTCTCCTGTAAACAGCACATTAAAAGAACAAGGCCAAAGACATTGTTGGATTGTCAGGAGGAGCAACAGGGGATAAGATGAAGAGTTGAAAAGATCGTCACCTGGAATATCGTGTACATCATGACTGTTAACGGCTGGTTCCCAGAGAACTCTGAGATTTTAAAGACATTAAGGCCCCATTTATTCACATGCTCCAATTCCTGCAAAACAACAAAAGACACAGTTGCAGTTGTAAATACCCTCCCCCCCGCCTGAATTTCATTCTTTACACTCACGTAGGACACATGAACACACCTTAGCCAACTCATTCTCTGTCTCTGTTTTAACACCAAAGCGAGGGATATTAGAGTTTGAGAGGCTTGAGGAGTGTTGCAGCTTTTTCACCCCACTGATCTGAGACATGGGTTTGTTCTTCTTCTCCTTCTCCTTCTGCATGTGAGGCGACGGCAGCTCCACCTCATGTTGCTTGTCTGGTCACATACAAGGAACAGTTGTAGAAAGTTAATGTGAGGACAATTTTTGTGATGGTCATTTGTTTTTTAACAGCCTAGTGCAATTGACCTGAACTGTTCCCATCAATGCTCACCCAAGAAGGTGCTTGAGATGAACTCAGACACCTGGTTTCCAGAGCGACTCATCTCTGATAGGTGGGTCAGCTCCCTGTTCAACATCCTCTTGAACTACAGAAGAAACACGGACACAGGAATGATTAGTAAGTTAGTTGTTTACTGGCTGTCAAAGTGGAAACTAGGATAACATTTTCAATGTACAGCACTAATACAAAAAATGCCTTCCCATTACACTAAACTGCACAAATGATTAAGACGTAATTTTGTAAAATAATAAATATGGAAGATAGACAGGTTAGTGGATAAACAGTTGATCTTCAGATTAGGTGATATAGAGCCACAGAAGGATGTGGACTGCCTTATTCATTCAGTAAACGATGGATGTTTTATCATCTTATGAATGAAAGAATTGAGATTCTGAAAAATTCAGTTTTTGGAGAAAAACCTCCCAAGATAAAGCATGTGATGCAAAGCAGCCACAATTTTCTAAAATGATCGACTTCCTGAGGAATATTTATTGCTCAACTTGTGTCTTTTTGACAACACTAAGCAATATTGAATGAATAAATTATTTTGAAGACTTGAGAATCATTTTAGAATACATGTATCTGGTTCTTGAAACATAGGTTTTCCTTGACATCTAATGCTTAGACCTTGCTTACAACAGGGTAAATAGAATGTTATTCGTTTTGACTAGGGTGGCGATAGAAAAACAGAAACTTGTCAACAAGAAGTCAACACAGTTATTCAGAGACCTGCTGTCTGAGATAATGAATGTATTTTTTAACCCAAGTTTTCCATAGTGTTTTCTTTTCCATCTCTGTATTTCTTGCAACACTCCACTCTCTTAACTTCCTCTCCTTCACCTCCTTCTCTCCTCATAGACTTGTACCTAATTGTTATAGCAAAGCCAAATTTAGCTTTGTCTTTTGATTGGAAAGGTCAACTGATTGACATGGTGTAGGGCGCAAAAAAAAAAACACAGGTACTGTTGAATCACAAATTATTTTTACATGTTTTAGACATGGAATTATTTTGAAATTTACCATGTTTTTCTGTCCAGCACATTCAGACATCTAGTCACAATTCTGCATACATTGAAGCATCATAGTGTACTCTAAACACCTTTCATTCTAAACGAATAATGGCTCTGTCATAAGTGAAAAGAACAAGGGAAGTTTGTCAAATCTATCAACAACACACTCCAAAGGATCCCAGGCATTTGATATTTAAATTAAAATAAATTGATTTTAAAAATGTAACTTTTCTAATTAAATATGTCCCTGTGTGGAATATGGTCATCACTCCATCATTTTGTCTACAGTGCAGCATCATCTCCTCGACCAGTTTATCATCTATAATACATGGCTTCTAAATAGTCACACAAGCAGCAAAGCTTTTTCAATCAAATCCATATACAGATCCATTATTAGAAGTGAATAGTAAACTCAGCCATTTAGATCCACATCTTACCTTTATATACTCCCAGGACACAGATAGAAGATAATTAGCTTCAGGCATTTTGGTAAGACAATAGAATGGGACAAAAAAAAAAAGACAGAATGTATATTTATAAGCTGAAATACAGCCTAGTTGAGGAAAGCATCGGAAAAACTAATAATCCTCATCTTTGTCCAGGAAAAGAATTCCACATGTACAATCCTGTGAGCTCAGTTCACTGTAAAACAACAAGGCGATGCTGACCATAAATGCAACATCCTGGTTCTGTCCCGTTAATATCCAAAGACACCAGGTCATTTCCAAGAGGATGAGCAGGTTCTGAGAGAAGAAACGTCAATGTTGTTCCACCAAGATCTAATGAGAGCATATCATGACCTCACACAATGTCATGCCCACACACAGTCTCTAACAGGAACACACTGTTGAGGTTGTGAATAATTGATGATGGCGCAAATGCTAGTTAGATCCCAGAGCAACGAGACATCAATGTTTTTTCAATCAGCCTCCAAACACGGCTGCCATCTGAGTGCCTGCTTCTGTGGCAGCAAACAGCAGCAAATCAGTGGCCACGTGTGGAAGAAGTGTGAGCTCATCACAGCTCCTCATGGGCTTGGTTTGGTCCTGACATGAAGTCACTTGCTGCCTGATTGGCTGGAATCAATTGGCTGGAATCACAGGATTTTATTATGATACAGTATTAATAAGAACAAGTGTAAAGAATATTGAAAAATACAGAGAAATAACAATATAACAAATCTTGTAAACCACTCATTCCCCCTTTGTCCTCGGAACTACTCTTTGTTACGAGTGAATGTATGAAATGTCCTTGCTTACAACATGACAAAGAAGCTGGTTACCTCATCCAATATCAAACAATACTAAAAAGGACTGAGGTCAGCTTTGACCTCCATATTCACGTTGGTGTGAGTCACTGCTGAAATAATGTAAATACACAAATAAAACCCATTATGCTGTACACGAATGAGTCACATAATCATTTGTATTGTTCTCAGTAGCAAACAAACATTCATGGTGACATCACAAATCAAGGCCTTGATTGTTAGGCTATAAAACAAGATTCAAAACCTTATCATGAGAAATAATTTTAAATATTCAATTGAGAAAAGGCATTTTCATTTTCACAGTTGCTTATATTTTTCTTCAGAGTAATTTCTTTCAACAGTTATCACCTTTTACATTAAAATAATATAAAAAATAATTTTTTTCAATAATTTTTTAATATAATTTTTTAATATAATATAATTTGTTCCTATTTTGCATTATATTTATTATTCACTTCTGACTTCTTGACTTCTTGCTCTGTGTGCCTTTATTTTTCACCTGGGGATAAGTATAGTATTTTTGTTACATTGAATTGAATAGAATGAATTAATGAAAACATTAGCTTTGTGACTGATTTAATATGTCCTATATTATTGTAGAAAACATAGCAAAACATTTTAAAAAGTTCTGTTAGGCAACTGGATGTGAATTTTCTAAAAGAAGATGTTTCACCTCTAATCCAAGAGGCTTCTTCAGTTCTAACTGGTGGTGGGGAGTACAGCAGATGTGAAAGATTAAGCTACTACAGCTCCGCCCTGTTGGTTGGGGCCTTGGGGTCAACTGTGAAAGTGTAAACTATCCTGTGAGTTGACTATGTGGTGGTGGAGGTGTGTGGCCAACCAATAGTGAAATGTTGGAGGCCAGGTGTTTGGCAATGTTGTAAGTGACTGAATTGATGTTGCTGATGATTGGTCTGAGTGGAGCTCTTTCCTTGTGGATTTTGGGGAGACTCAAAATTCACAAACAAAAAAAGGCCCACAAAGAGAGAGGACAACAGGAGGAGGGGGAATGTTGTCATTCCATACATTTCAGGAGTTTCGGAAAAACTTAGGAGGATCTTTAACCAACACCAGATCCCCTTACACTTCAATCCTGGCAACACCCTAAGACAGAAACTGGTTCATCCTGTTAGATTTCAGTGGTTTTCACATTTGGTTGGGTCTGCAGCAGGAAGCTGCTAAGACACCAAAAGGCTTTCCTGAGCACACACAGTCACATAGCCCCACACATTCAAAGAGAATTTCCCCAAACTCTCTTCACACCAACATTCTAAAACACCTTTACTCCCTGGGAACAATGGGAGATCTCCCAACCTACCTTCTCACAGGGAACCACATCCATTCCTTTTGATCTACATGACCACCTGTGGTTGACTGGATTTTATGGCTCCGTCAACTTCCCTTGTGATAACCCCCCACTCAGCAACAAAAGGTTCTTCCAACACTGCTGAATTATGGAACAGCAGTGCCACATAGTGGCGACTGCAGGCATCACATGATACAAGAACAATAATATCATTGGCCACAAGAGGCCTAGCCTCTCTCTTCCATTGGCCTACAAGATTTAAACACACACCCAGGAAGTCGAAAACCACTCCCCCCACACAGGTATATAGGCATAAACAACTAATGATACTTTAGAAGTTATTCTTGAGAGGATTTGCGTATTAACAACTGTTGTACGAGATTTCCTTGAATACTTCTCCAGTCGTTTTTTTTTTTTTTTTTGCTTTATTGTTGGACGTGTTGGATTTGTTTGACGTTTTGCTATTACTGTGATCCGGATCAAAATATAGCAAGAATCTTTCAATCCCAAAGACAAGACTCCAAGAAACTAGCTGGACAATGTGGTTTATGTCATTCAGTGCAATGAGTAGTGTACCGACCTGTACATTGGGGAGACTAAACAACTGCTACACAGGCGCATGGCCCAACACAGGAGGGCCAACTCTTCTGGACATGACTCAGTTCACATACACCTCAAGGACAAAACACACTCATTTGAGGACAACAATGTACACATTTTGGCCAGGGAAGACAGATGGTTTGAGAGAGGGGTAAAAGAGGCCATTTTTGTCGACCATCACTCAACAGAGGAGGTGCACTCAGACACAACCTATCACCCACATACAAAGCACTGTAGGAACAATATCCAAAACTTCACCTCAGTTTCACACAACAAAGAGGCAGGTGACCGAAACCGTTCTGATGGGGACCACAATGACCCAGAACAAGAACAGACTCTTAACAACTGTTTACACTTTCACAGTTGACCCCAAGGCCCCACTCAACAGGCGGAGCTGTAGTAGTTCTTTCACACCTATATTATATATCTGCTGTACTCCCCACCACCAGTTAGAACTGAAGAAGCCTCTTGGATGAGAGGTGAAATGTCTTTTTTTAGAAATTTCACATCTAGTTGCTTAACAGAACTTTTTTAAACTTGTCCATGACCTGGATGACCGAGAATCTTCATAGACATGAAGAAAAAAAAATTGCAATATTATTATAAGCATTATAAAATCCTGCCAAAAAATGTATTCACAGCTATCAAAAGTCAATGATTTAAATTCTGATAATAATCATATAAAAGCAATTAACTGCCGTGAACTATTAATTGATACAGATGAAAATGAGTACATTAAAAATGTCCTTGCTTCAATATCTAGAAAATTTTAGATTTTATTTTTATGATTTTAAACAGTATTCTAATTGTACAAAAAAAAACCAAAATCCTGTCCCACAAAGTGTCTGAACCAACTTTGAAATTTAGGTCAGTGAAATCATTCAAAGAAATGTGATGTACAG